CTTTATACATGTACGAAAACTAGACGCAAAGAAGTGTACCACCGTACACACACATATATACGTATATACATATACACACATGCATGCACATACATACGCTTATACCATCCCGAAGTATTAATTAAAGTCGATTATATTATTAAATACGTTCAAATAGTAAAAAAAAAAGACTCGGCGTCGCCTGTATATAACACCACAGTAGGTATTTTATATTTAAATAATTGATCAATTACTTCCGAGAGCTTATTCCTGTACAAGCATAATATATATAATATTATAATCCTACACACACACACACACACACATACATATAATATATATATGCATGTACGACATGTAATTTGCTCTTTTATATATTATAATTATGTACTGCGTATAATAAGCCAATTGTTTTTTTACAATGAATAATTATCTAAAGCTCGAGTTATTGTCTATAGCGTAATATTATGTAGGTATATAAATGCATAATAAATTGTTCTGTTTCATGTGTTAGTAAAATGTACCGTTTGCGACGCGAATAATTGAATATAATATATTACATTATAAAGCGTAGCATTTAATATCCTATATGCGAATAAATGAGTTTAAGGCCAATGACGTTTGACTATTATTTTGTGAAAATTGTAACTTTCCAATTTTTTTCTCGATAGTAATAAGATGCGTTCATCATAAGAAGAAAATAATAATAATTGTTCAATGTGTGTCATCATATTTTCGATTAATTTTTTGTGCGAAATATCTTCTAAATGTTTACAGTCATTGAAGTAAGTTCAATGAATACGTCGTATTCAAACGTATAAATATTATTATCATACACTCAAAAAAAAATATATAAAATTTATAGTAATAATGTGCCATAATTTTGTAATTAATAATATTACATTTATATGATGAAAAATAATTACGAAAGTGCCTAATAATAACATATTTGTTTTATCAATTAATTACACTTAATACGTTTATTGTTAGATTAATATTATGTTAATTTTGTACAGCATTATTTTTTTAGATATTAAATATTATATCTATATTCTATACAATTACTTTAAGACTATTTTCGACACTTATATAATATTGTACAATTAACCACAAACGACGAGGAAAAATTACATTATAATCCACTTTTCAGTTATTACCTACTGCATAATATTATAAAGAGTAATATTAATCTATTATGATCAATTAATTTTTGCACAGCCATGGGTAGTATCACGGTACATTATAATACTTACATTCATAATAATTTCTTACTCCACTTGTAATGAGGTTGAGAATGAGGCCAATTCCGTAATGTATTATCGTGATATTAATTTTATAATAACGTGGAATTACGGTGCGATGATTATATACGATTAACAATAGTTGCACATAATAATATGTGCGTTAGTCGTGTAATGTGCATAAAAAATAAATGTTGTGTACAACAATGATGTAAATAAAAATGTTCAGTACATTTTTTATCGGTCGATTAATTTCAATGACAGCAGCCTATAGTTGTGTTCAACGAAACATCAACTGGGCGGTGTTTACTAAAACCGAAATAAATTATCAACTTGATAATTATAATTTGACTACAATTTATTATCATATAAAAGCACAACGGACAACTAAAAATGTTTAATATTCCGCGGCTATTAAGTATTTTTCCTCAAAATGTTGTAAATGCAATCTTCAAATGTTCTATTTTGGCGAGCTCTTGTCTACGCTGCAATCTGTCCGACTAGGTCGAAACTTCAGCAGCCGTGTTGTTATTATATTGCATTGTATACCTACTGCAGATTCCACGATATAAGACGTATGTAATTGTTGCAGTGAATAAATTTAGGTTAATGGTGTAAATCGAAATTGTCTGTACATTTTTTGGCAGTCGGTTAAATACAACGGTAGCAGTTTAATATTATAGTGTTCAACGAAACACTGCAAGAGGTTTACTTATGCAGCCGAATAATGCATTATTATTAAGTAATATTAACTATAACAATTATTTAACCGCAATGTAATTATTATAAAACACGTCATAACGGACCGAAAGCGTCGAACAACTACTGATAGTTTTTGACATTGCACGGGCGTAGAGTGTGTTTCCTCCAAATGTAGTGAGACGTAAGATGGCTAATACATTGGTGTATACGATTTATCAGAGTATAATAAACGGACGATTTATTGTGGACACGCTACTTCAGTCTTCGAATGTTCTAATTTCGTAAGCGCATGTTTACACCGACAATCTCTCCGACTCGATCGAAACTTCAGAAGCCGTGTTGTGCTGTTATTATATTAAGTATACCTGGTGCAGATTTCACGATATATCCTATACATGTGGCAGTCAGTTTTCTACAGTGCAAATGCAGTTTTGAATTTACGCACGTATATGCGTATGCTAATTGACACACCACCGGGCTTTATAATATCAATACGAGACAAACATATATAAAGCCAACGTGTTATCAGATCTGTGTACTACGCGCATGTTAGTGTATATTATATTATAATAATAATATGAGCATATCGTATAGCAGGTATGTTATAACAGTACATTAGTGCAGGATCGTAACTGTTTAGTGCGCAACTCGGGCTCGCAGGATATGATATTATCGACGACGAAATCATCTAATAAAAAAAAAAGTCCATCGAACGAGTTTTGAACGGAATCCGGTAAAAAAAAAAAAAAAAAAATCGAATACATATTAAACTGCAATAATGACGTTATGGTGCGCGAAATCGAAGAGCAATTAATAAAGAGCCGTTGGCGATGCCGGCGCCAAACCGACGGCTGCTGCAGTATGTATTCCGCGGGTGAAAAATGTTTATAATTTTCTACAATATGCTATTAATTGTGTATACCGCGTGTCCGCGGAAAAAAAGCATGCACAGAAAATGTAAAGTTTTTGTTCGTATCAAAAATATAAGAGTTAGAAAACTGTAAATTATAGGAATTGACGACCCGACAGTTTATAGTCTCGTGTCCCGCGCACATAAAAAATATGCATAGGGTACAGATAGTAATAAAATAAGTAACTGCGGGATTATAGAGGGTACCTACCTTGGTTTTGTGAACACTACACGATATTATATTATGTTTTAATACCAATTGCAATGTATATGTTTAAACAATCGATAATCCAAATTTCGAATACCGATAATGCAGAGTTGGTGTCTTTTGGGGATTACACTTTTTCCAGCATCATTAGGTCGACAATCCTATATTATACGTCATGAAAATCCGTTAGAATTATGCCGGAGAAAAACTATGAATCGACTAATAATATAGGTAGCTATAATAATAATATTAAATGCACCGATACTTCCCGATATAATATATTCCGATACGTACCGATATAATATAATACCGATATATACCCATATATAAATAAGTAAATGGTTTAAAAACCATATAGCTTATACCGATGACGGAGCGATAATTTTTACGATGTTGCGCAGCGTACCAGCTATACATGCGATTACCTAGTCAGAAATCGCTTTTGGCGCGGGAAAAGTCTTGTCTGCAGCTTATACACAATTTCTCAGCTGCACCCCTAAAAGCATATATTATTATTATTATACGCATATCACAATATTATACATCGCAGGAAACCTGAAGCTGCGCCCCTGCAGATTAAGCACGCATTATCGTATACGCGCAGACACATGGTTAACCATCATGCTACACATATTATTATTATTATTATTATATATTATACAACTGCCACCGGTTGGGTGGGCGATAAATCGATAAATTCATCTCGGCAGATTTTAATGACTCGGACGCTATATAATATATACTGCAGCTGATGGAATAGTTTGTGCGCGTCGACCGTATAATATTATATTATTATATTTATTTATATCGAGTCGCGCCTTCCCAGCGTGCCGCAGATGAAATTTCCGGATAAACAGCGTGTGCGCAAAATATCGCGATCGATCGAGATCGATATTATATTTAATATTATGCGGCGGCGGGACTTGGGCGTACCTCATCGCACTGTAGAAGGTTCGTCTCGTTATAATATGGCGTTATGAAGAGACAAAAATCGTGCGAGTCGCGTACATACCTACATGTTTTTACAGTCCGTATAGATAGATAATATTTTTCGATGACATCTGACTGTGCGTTTTCATATAAAATTCATAATAATATATAATCTATGCAGGCGAGTAATAAGTGGTGCTGTTTTGTGTAACCCCCCTACCTCGACCGTTAAAACGGAAAAATTCATTATATGCTAATTTTAATTAATATTTGCCAAAAGAAATATATTCAAAAGTTAAACGCATTTTATACTTTATAAATATGACTGCATTACTCCACGATGGGTGTGTGAAACTGTAAACAGCTCACAACTCCCATATTGTATTTCAACACTAAATTATACCCAGGTTTTATGCTCATAGCTGCTGTTATCGCCAACAAGCTCTTATGGAAAATTATATTATAGTCAGGAGCCATGTTATATTTTGATATTTAAAAAGAGCTGCTGTTTACTATATATCGACCCCGAAATGACTTATATAGATTAAATTATAGGCTCTTCGTATGAGATTATTATGGTCTATTTCGTATCCCAGTCCAAGTAAATATATAAACCGTCGTGAAACTATAAATACTACATACGTTGAATTGGTGGCGTAATTTTTGTTGCAAAAATAACAGTATTTTTTTTTGCAAAATGCGTCTGCTGTCTCTATAATATACCTGGGACGAACAATATTGATGAATTTGACTCCTTTACGCTCACATGGTCTCGGGCGTTTACCGACGACGACGGGGTGGTCAGCATAGGTTATTTTCTCAGAGACGTTAACGGTGGTTATAGCAGACTAGCCCTTATAAGATCCATCGCAGTCCCCGGATACACTACACGAGCGTTTGCCCGAAATGGTCACAGGGGCGTAGTTTCTTTTTTATTAGGTATATCGCATAATACATAATAACACGTTATGAGAATCTATGCGAGATTCTATGGCAATAATATAAATGTATGTACAGATAATACACTTACCTCTGGACAAGTCCAAAGACGTGACCCGTCCTTGGACCTCGATCTCCGTATGCGGCTTCTCGGTCCTCGTGTCCCAGAACCGTATCCTCTTGTCGAAATGGCCGCTCATGATGGTCGTGCCGACGGTCTCCGATGTGACCAGGTCGTTGCAACTGGACATGGCGAACTTGGTCTCGACGCCTACATAACATAATATTATTATCATCATTCAATAACCCATTATACAATTGTAACGGAAAAAGTTTAGTAATAAAATAAAAACAACAACAACAACAGCAGCGACGTGGTGACGATAATTCGAACAACCTTCACACTGCATTGCACACAAACGCGCCTGTACAGAGTGATTATTTCATCGGGTGAACCGATTATTGGAATAATATATCCAAGAATATTTTTTAATTTCTTAATATTTAATAATAGAACAAATACTGCTGATTAATCGCATTGAAAAATATAAAATAATATTTTCGTTAAATAAATGAAAAAAAAAAACACGAAATACAATAATTGCAGCTGGCACATGTCTTTTACGGTCTAATACAAACCGCCTGCTTTACGACAAAACAATCGGCCTGTATAAATACTTCATACACATGATATATTATACGATACTATTTACTGCAGAGTCGGCACATATATATTATATATCGACGTCGTTTATTGGACCACCACCAACTACACACAAAGCCTGCACGTTATAATATATAATGTACAATCTCATACAATATATTATGTTATTGGCTTCGTTCACTAATCGTCGCACGACGAACCCGCGATGAGTATACGCTTATACATAAATATAATAATATTATATATACTCACATGCCCTGATGCGTAGATCGTATATCTTCAGCGTGCGGTCGTGGCTGCCGGTCACCACTTTGCTGGGTTCGCCCATGAACTTGGCAGCCATCACTTTGGCGCAGTGTCCGGTCAGAGTGTGCTGAAACAACGACAATACACACACACCGTATTATTATAACGTCACGAGAGCTAAAATAATAATAATAATAATAATAATAATAATAATAATAATAATAATAATAATAATAATAATAATAATAATAATAACGATGATAACGATAATAAATAAATAAGGCTGTGCGAACTCCATCGCTATATACAAGTAGTCGAGTAAAAACTATTGTACTTAAGCAAAATGAATAACAAGAGTAGGTCAGGCCAACGAAGCTCAGATCACAGAAATGTAAATAATGTTTAACATAACCGGCATGGCATGACATGTAAAAATGGGGTAAGTACTCATATTATGTGTGTTGTACCTGCAGTAGTCTCCGTAAGGACGGACAATATCATATTTAAAGTATTAATTTTAAGTAATATGTGGCTTGATGTGGTGCGGTAATTGGCTTCGATTACAAAAGTCTCCTAAATTGCAAGCATTTGCCGGTGTCTTGGTGACAAATCTTCGTCACACATACGCACGGCTTTCCAACCAACTGTACCCTCCCTCGTAGTAAAAACCGGCTAATGACCACGTAGTTGATGCCATAACAATTAAAAAAAATTACGTATAGTGTTCGAGTGACTTAATAAAAACAATATTTTGTATTAACACTATTTTTGAACGTTTCCGAATATTTTCCTCCCTGATCTGAAACCGGTTAATTATACCGGAGATAATTTACCAAAGAAAATCACCCAGCCAGTAATGTACGACAGACGACCGAGCGGCGGCGTCAGCGAAGATGTTCGAACCCTCAACCCCTTCCCATCAACAAGTTAATTACAATCCGACCTAACCGTAGTCATCTTGATGTATTAGGTTATAGAATTAAAAGACATCGAGTGTTCTGTCATACGAAAACCAATCACACTGTGGGATTTTTTAAACTGCAGGACAGTGGACAATACCTATAAGCAACATAAATACCTAAATGGCTACTACCAGCAGGAGTGGGAAAAAATAGCATAAGTCTTTTGCGACTGTACGACCTATGCGTATACCATGGTTGTGTGTACCTATTAAAATTACAGTATATTATAATATATGTAGGTACACATACATAATACGTTTGTGTAGGCTCGTATACACGCGTTTCATCGTCGGACTAACTGTATTGAAGTAATATATTATTACCTATACGTCCCCCGCCGACGGTGCAACTTTATAAAATATGCATAAATTATATTATATTATAATAGGTACCTACCGGAGACAACGACAATAATATGTGTTCCTATATACACAATGTGAATAATTTTTTAAACATTTATCTTTTCAGATATTATGTTATTATATTTATATACCAATCATAACCCACTCGTGTGTGTGTGCGTATACACGTCGTCGTCCCGGCGTGCGTTTGTATGTATGTATATATAGGTATACCTCTGCCGTTCGTGCGCGCAATCGTCATGTTTGTCTACGCGTATTTATACCATCGCCGGCCGATGAATGGAATTAATTTCCATTTATTATAATAATAATAATAATATACGACGGCGATGCGATAAGTCTGGCGGAAAATGCCGACGCAGATAATATAACTGATGCAGCGTATAGTGTACCTACGTCGTTATTATTTTATATTATGCACCATATGGACGCACGCTAATAGAACTACCCTGCTGCAAGTCTCCGTCGGCCATCCACACACTGCACACCCATTTATGTATCTACACCATCGTTGTGCCTATTCGTAGTAAATACCGTGCACGCTCATCCGACCACTATATTATGCACACTTCGGCTATATTAGAATGTTTAATGGAAATTAGAAATGCAACTTAAAAATAATATTTACATAAATTATAAGCACTGTGTAATGTAATTATTGGCAGCTGTCTGCGTGGAAACGGGATATTTTTATTTTTACTCAAGACTATAATATAGAGACGTACTGACGTGGCTCTCTAATCTAACGACGGCTCTTACGAAGATTATTTTCGCAAATACTAATTTAAAGAAAAATAGTTATCGACAGAGCAAAACGCGGTGAGATGAGTGAGTATTGCATTGTAATGTATTTCGGTGGTCGCAGAATGTGCAGGCGATGATCGGAGTGTTAACTTCGATTAACGAATCAAATCTCATTCCTATGTAGGTAGGTACTCGTTTCGTGTTTCTTTCGTTTTTTGGTACTTGACGAGTCACCTCGGGCAAACAAAACCAAAACATAATATGATGTTATTGCACACACAACAGCCGATAGTACTGCAAAGGCCCTCGAGGAGGTGGTGTGTCGGTCGCTGTTGCAGTAAACGCGTGCATATATTTTAGGCGATCGTGAACTATTATAATATTATATTCATTTACATTTCCTATTATGATGTAAATCCACAAGTGTACTTATAAACATTTACGTTTACATAAATAGCGACCTGTGTGTGTGTGTGTGTGTGTGTATAGGTGTAAAATGCAATATATATTATATTATATATTATTATAATCGTATCGGTTAACACGCACGTACCGGCACGTTTGTGCTTCGATATAATATCACGCGTCAATGTGTATAATGATGATTATAATAATAATAACAATAATAATAATATAATATACGACGTAATAATATTTATGTACCATATATTAGCATGAAATGTGCTGCGTGCATACGCTTATTCGTATTCATAATAATCCGACAGACGTATACTGTTATAATATTCACCTTACATCTTACTTGCTACACACGATCTGTACAATAATTTATTGTTATTAAATATTATTTAAGTTTCCCGGTTCCGACGGTGGAAATTTAGTCGGATATTATATCGAACGCGTAAACCGGGTCACGGTAATGCACATACTATTATTATTATTATTATACACTACTGCGCCGAAATCGAATACATCTGTGGCAGGTCGTACGTATACGAAGTTTGTACGGCAATTATTATTCAGAGCAATAATCAATGATGGCAATACGTTAGAAATTAATATTATTCGTCTGCACATTAGACCGCGCGAGTCATACTTTTCCTTACCTTTGCATTACTAATCTGTTGTACAAACAGGGTGATTTACCGACCATGCTCAACCCAATATTTTCATTTAATAATGAATTCATTCGAATTCTGATATTTGAAATTCTTAAATATATTTATAGACCATATTTCATATTATTGTGATTTTTCTATACTGCTTAAAGGGAGTTTAATGTGGAGATGCAAGCTTTTGTTTTTCAAACGAAAAAAACCTCTTTTTATACTGTAAATTATTTAGTGGATAATTTTCCTGACAACTTGGAAGTATTAAAATTAAATTTCCAACCAACGATTTTTGAGTTATTTAACTTCATGTACTAAAGTTATAGGTCTGTGATAATGGGTTTGGAAGATCTGGGAACTATCAAAATTAGGAAATTTTAGTACTAAATATTTATCTATCAACATAATATATAATTTATAAAAATGGCGTAGGTATGATAAATAATACTAGATCAAATATTACACATATAATTTATTTTTAAGGAATATTTTAATCCTTAGTATAAATATTTTATTAACTGAGAAATAAGTTAGTTGAATTTTGTATTAGGTAGGCACAATTTCAAAAAAAAAAATGATCCCCTAAATAATTTACAATCTAAGAGGAGGAGGGCGTCCTCATTTGTGTAACGGAAATTTGTATAGCCACAGAAAGGTCATTAAGTAGTACGAAAAATCTAAACGATTTAAAACATAACCTTTAAGTATATTTAAAAATTCTAAAAATCAGAATTTAATTAAATTCACTAGGTATTGGGGTGAGCATGCTCGGGGAATCACCCTGCATACGAAATACAGCATATAAAGTACGTATGTAAAGCCAAGATATCTATAATAATAATACGTAATATAATATCGTCGTAACATTTGTTTTCGTGTGGACGGCTAATTATATAGGCCGTGTTGAAAAAATGAAAATAACCGAAAGAAAAAAAAAAAACGTACCGAACTGCAGGCGCGAACGGTTCGTTGCGCGGCTAAAACGTGCATACAATATATTATGACCTGCTATCATGAGCGGAAATATTTTCGAGTTTGTAATATATTTTTTACGACCTACTACACTGCAGTCAATGCACAGCTCACCGCGGGTTCAACGCGTTTATTATTTATGCGACATATAATAATAATATAAAATGACGTGACCTACCAAATTGTAATGCTTGACCGGACCTAAGCACACGTCTGCAGATCTCGTCATTATACGGTATTCGTAGGAAGTTTTATGTAGGTACTTATGTCTACAAGTGGTTATTATAGCTAGCTTATGCCCGCAGTGGCCCGAATACTGCAGACGCGATGATTAAAATTATTTCAATATCGGCATAACATTTTAAACAATTAGTGCGCTGTAGGTATATAATAGCATTGATTATAAATACTAGTATTTATAATCAATGATAATAGGTACTCGAGTGATGCACGTCATGATCATCGGCCAAAAATCATAGACCATTAATATAAAAGTTTACCGAGTTATTATTTTATCAAACAAACACTTTTTTACATAATTTTAACGTTTAAATCGTTTTAAAACAACATTTTAGAAAAACATTCTCATTGCAATAATTTTTCTAGTTTTACTTTTTATAGTGGCATACATTTTGATTGACTACTACGCTCTATAGTATCTCAACTTTAAATTCGTATAACTATCTAATTAACTAGTCGTCTAAAATTTGATTTGTATTTATGAGCATACTAAGAATACAATTCTGGTTAGGGAAATAAAAAAAAAAAACAGTTATGTTTAGTGACTTCCTAAAATTGTGTGAAGTAACAATATTTTCTAAGACATGAACAGTTTGTGAAATAATGAGAATCTTATGTAAAATGAATCAACTGGTGTATTATGTACTTATCTATATGTCATATATATATATATAGATATACTGCTGTACCGGGTGAAACTGTACAACTATAACATATGACTCGTCCTCCTTCGGTTGGAATGAGTGTCGTCGTCAAGTGTGTGTCTTGATAATATAAACA